ACAATAGTCCTTTAAATTATTCAAGCATTTGTAAAGAAAAAAATTTAAAACTCAATTATAAAATGTTTAAATTTTTAAATTATAAATATTAAAAATACTAAAAAAAATTATTAAAGCAAATAATTATCAATTAGTTAAATAAATAAAAAATAAATTTTAAAAAAATTAAAATACTAAAACTATAAGAAGAAATTTGCAAAAACTTAATATTTTTTCACTTTTTAATGATAAATAAAGAATTAAATTGGTGTATTAAAAAAAATATTGATTTATTAGAAATGAATATTAACCAATTAAAATGATAAACCATTTTATAATATTAAAAGTAATAATTCAGATCATATATAAAGAATTTCTAGAAAAGTAAATATTAATAAATAATTTCTAATTTATATACAGCAATTTCCCATTTCATTTCGCCCATTACCCTACTACCTCACTATCCCACTGCTTTCTACTTTCTTCACTTCCTCTCACTGTCCTCTACCACCTCTACTAAAATAAGTTTAATATTAATAACATAATTCTTTTAATAAAAATGTGATTAAAAAAGGTTAATAATATGGGTTATTTTTCTGTAAAAGGATTTGAACTACTGGTTAAAGTTGATAGAAAAATGAATTATTGTAATTATCTTCAAATATTTAAGCCACATTGCTTTTATTTATTAATAATAATTTTAATAGATAAGGCTAAAACAACAATCCAATTGAATATTTAAAGTTAGAGTTAGAAAGATGCATTAGAAAACATCCTAGATTTGTAAAAAATATATATATATATATATAAAGAAATTAGAAAGTGTTTTGCATGAAGAATGGAATCAACTTCCTAATGCTACTTTAATAAATTTAATCAAAAATATGCTAGCAGAGTTGAAGCATATATTAACAATAATGGATGGTCAACTAAATATTGGTTTTATAATTAATTAAAATTTTGATCCTAATTATTATGTACATTATTGAATAATAATTAATAAAATATGAGTTTCACCACATTTTATTCAAACAGCGTATTACTATCAATCGGTCGACCATGACCATTCTTGAAGTAGATAATTCAAAATTTAATAAATTGATAATTTACTACTTATAAATATTTGTATAAAATTAGCATATACAGTATTATGTATAATATTTTAGCAAATTTATTTAAAAAATAAATTGAAGTAGTTTTTTTACGTGAATTGCAAAATGGTTGCCTCTAATAAAATTCACACAATAATTATGTTATTGTGTTTTGCAACGATTAATATCAAAATTATTGTCTGATGATCCAAGTTAGAATTTAGTGGCTAAATTGGACAATAATTTATTATTTATCAACGCAAGATTTTATGATGTTGACTTAAAATTATGAAGGGTAAATTCTTTTTTTCTCGTCATTTACACTAGATTCTTTTATAGAAGAACCACTTTTAAGAAAACTCGAAAAAGGTAATTTTGTTACTTTTTGTTTATAAGCTTAATAATAATATGATTTATTTGTTAGGACTAAAAAGAAAATACTAACAAACTTATACTCATAGAAGACGAAGTGCTTTATTAAATAAAAAGCAAAATTTAATGACTCCTCAATTAAAATGATATCCATGCTATCAAATTCTTTCAAGCTATGACAAATTTTTTAAAGGTAAATACATCTTCGATTATTTTTAATTATTATTTTTTTTTTGCCAAATATAAATGAAGGTACAATCATTAATATTACAACATCACTTTCGTCGACCATTTCCGATACTAAATGATATTCAAAATTAACCGCAAGGATTAGAACTAATTTTCAAAAATTACAGCTAATTAATTCTGTATTATACTAATATTAATCAAAGCATTATTTTATTTATATTAGCTTAAAATATAAATATAAAAAACGAGATCGTCGACATCATATGGGTGAGTACGATAATTTTTAATTTTTTCAATCGGAATTAATTAACGGCATTTTTACAATGTGATCGACTGATTTAAAATATATGGACAAAATTTCACTTCAAAATATTTCACTCAACATGAATAGTTTTTTAAATTACAATAATAAACAATTTAATTGGCTGTACAGATAATAAATACTAACGAAGAAAAAAAAAAAACATTACAATAAATTTACAACAACCAGAATAAACGATATATACATTAAATCCCTATATAACCCATTTCTTGAAAAAATAAAAGAAAAAGACCAAGGAAAAAATCATTGAAAGGATTAGAGATAACCAAAGTTGATAATAAAACTTTTTTTTTAAAAAATTAATTACTTTTTGCATGCATCACACACTTTAACGATAATAAGCTTTTTTCTAATTTTCACAAGATATTCATCATAAGAGAGTTTAAAACCATTTCTAATTCTTGATTGTTATAAAGAATCTTGTTAAGTTGAGAACGTTTCTTGCGTTGATTCCTCATATTAAGCTGTTGTTTAATATAACCATAAAGCCAATAACATTGAAGAGGATAAAGTAAAGCTAATATTAACCAAGTCGATTTTGATGGATGGTAGTTATAATAAAGGTGAATCATCATTGCGTGAAATAATAATCTCGTTGAAATGAAGGTTGTCACATATAAAATTTCTTGTTTTAATGATTTGTTGTTGAATTTCTCTGTCGCCAGGACAAGAGTTGAAACCTAATAAATAATTTTTTTTTTTTTGGTTAATCACGAGATAAATTTTTTTAAAAAAAAAAAAAAAATGAGAGCGGAAAAGGAAATTGTAAATACCTCAAAAATTGACATTAAACAAAAAATTTCAGTTTGTTGTTTATAAATGACAAATCCTGATATTGCAAGATGAATCAAATGATGTAAATAACCTTTCATACTCGTAACATTACTAATTTCATGTTTATAAAAGAATCTGCCAATCAATAAATCTAATATACAATAGGTCATAAAGAATCCAACCAAGACTATAGACAAATTTGATTCTTTGGGAAGATCGTTGACATTCCAATTAGCACTAAAAATCAATTGATATACGAATGGAATTGACCCTAATGACATGATTATTGACGTAGTAAATGTTAGAATCCATGCCCTTTGTTGTTTATTCTTGAGAAATTTATTTTTTATAAAGAAAACATAAGTTGTTAACAGTAATGTTGAAGAAAGTACAAAGGAATTTAGAAGCAAGGATGATTTTGGAAGTGAAAAGGTTTGAGAATTTTGGGAATTTGTTGAATTCGGAAGGAAAAAGGAAGGTTTGATTTGTTGAGACGAGATGATGAAAATATTCGTGTTTGAAAATTGATCCATGGTTAATATTTGCAGGAAAAAAACGAGAGATTTATTGACGTTAAAAAGGATAGCTCCCGAAATAATTAATTGAAAAACAAACCATTTGAAGATCGGATCAATTTATAAAATTTTCAAAAAAAAAAAAAAAAGTATAAATAACATATAATAGTTTATTTTTTTTTTTGTTTATATACACAATACATAAATAACAATTTATATCACATTAGAAATCATTGTTGTCAAAAACAATAAAACAATAGATAAAACAATAATAATCATGAAAAAAAATAAGCTTTTTTGATTGTGTAAAATATTTTTAACCTTTTTTTGCATACCGTTATATCATCATGGTTTTTTTTATTTTATTTTATTGAAAAATCACAAATGGTATTCGACATGAAAGAGCAAAGGATTTTTTTTTTTTTTTTTTTAAAAAAAATAAAATAAATCATCTTCTTATGACATCAATCATTATTTTTAATTTTCTACGGTGTATAAATTGAAAGTCCGATTTTATTTTGAATCCTTTTTTTTTTTTAAAAAAAAAAAAAAAGAATGGGGAATGGGGCAATCCCCAAAACGATAAGAAAATCTTATAATAAACCACAATACTAATTGGAACACACAACAAATACACGTTTGTACAACCCAAATTTTACTGATTCGGGAGATTTTGTTGAAGAATCGTAACGATCTGATTTTGAATTGCATGAATGAAGAATATCTTTAAAAAAAAAAAAGATATCTAGTTAATAATAGCATCAACCTTGTGTTAATCAGTAATTTATTTTTAGGTGCAAAGTGACAATAATTGACGCCCCGACCTTCGGGACGTTCAATTGTTGTTTCGTGATTTTTTGACGAAAAAATTGGCAGTAGTAATTGATTTAATTGGATGATTTGGGAATAATTGACTATCCAATTGAATGTTTGGTTCCTATGTCCAATTGTTTCAATTGACTCTGCATAATATAAACTATTTAACTTACCGATTTTAGAAAGTCATAAATGCGATTTTTTTTTTTAATTGCATCATTACCACATTAATTGAATAATTATGTGATGAATGCATAATTTTAGATTTTTCATAACGTTATGAACTTCCCTTTTTGGTCTTTTTAAAGTACAAAGTATAAATTTACACATAATACTAAAATAATTTATTAAATAATAACAAAATTTTAAAAAATTTAACTCGTCCCTGGTTCATAAAATTTTTGGGTCGACCCGCATTTTACATTTTGCAAAATGAAATAATAATAAATGAATACCCACGCAGCAAATTTATAGTTTATTTTAATGGGATTCCACGTTTACCAGATAGATTTAGGTTGACAGTAAATGAATATCATGTAATTTATTTTATGCAATTTATTGGAAAAATTAACCAACGCCAAACCATTCTTCAAAAACAATTAGTTAGTATAATGCGAGCCTGGACCGAGTCTAATAATTATTTATTTGATCAAATGTTTTATGTAATAAATCCATACTTGAAAGCTGGCTAAAATAGTTCTTTAAATAGTAATGACAAAAATCCAAATCGCACGCTATGCGCATTTAAGTTAGGGTTAAGCTTAGTTTGTCCAACTATGAGAAAATTTTATCATTGATAGATGCGCTTTTCTTTCTTTGTTTCCATATTAGTTATCGAGGTATATAATACAAAAAAAATCATCTTTCTTTAAAATCATTGGAAAAAAACCCTCCGCCCTCTTCAAAAAAAAAAAAAAAAAAAGAAAAAATTCTCAAGTAAATATGATGGAATTAGATAAAAAGGATTCTACTGATAAGAATACTAAGAAGGTTTGTCGTTGTTATTAATAATTCGTAATAACGGTTCGGACTGAGAATACTTTTTTTTTTTTTAGAAGTATGTACTTTCCAGACCTGTAAGCGTCAATGTATGCAATAACGAAACATTCTTTTTAGACCTCTAACAGAGAAAATTACGCGGTATTTATTCGCACATTTTCATTTCCCTTTAGAATAATAGGGCTCAATCCAACGAGAGTCATAGTACCGATACAAATGAATCTAATAGCTCTGAAGTATGTAATCATGCTTGTAACGGATTCGCCTCAAAATGATTTTTCGTGGTGTATCTATTCACACGTTCATTTTTTTTTTTATTTAGGATAGGAAAGAAAGAAATAAGTCGATTAACTATCTAGGATGTGTCATTTCATTTTTTAACGGTAATGATCACAAGTATCGGTATCTTGGTGTAACTATTTTAATTATCGCACTCGTGTTTGTAAGTATAATTTAACAAATTTTATTGATATTTCGATGAGCCTTTTTTAAAGTATATTCTTTACAATAGGGTCTATTACCTGGTCCTGGTCCAGACAAACCTCCTTCAAGATTTTTCAATAATCTTGCTAATATGATCATCGGAATCTCTCGTGACATCGACAGTGTTAAACTTCCAGGTAATTCATTTATTAAACGCGCTTCTTCAAAATGAAAAAAAAAAACCTTATTAACTTTAACTTTATCGTACAGCCGCAGATAAAGTTATTGACCATGCTGTAGCATGCCGTAGAGCTGCGAATATGATTCAATAGTCCAGCATTTAAAAGTTACGGTGTCCACATATCATCAGGCCTTGTTAGCTTTGGAGAGAAAATCGTTCTGGCCGGTCGTGGACTAAGAAACATGAATAGCAAAGGTTCATCGTTATATGAATCGTTTGATGTAGAAGTTGATGCGATGATGCAACGACTACGATCCAATGCACGACAAGGTGATTCTAAATACTTTAAGGAAAGGTTGAATAATTTAATCATAAAGGTACAAGATTTTAGGGAAGTAGTTGGTAAAACTCAAATGGCTTTTAAAATCGCGGAAGATACTAGACAGTCTGACAGTCTGCCGAAGGTTATATCATAGACGGAATGAGAGAAGCTGAAAAATTTGTTACTAAAAACGACGAACATTGTGTTGATATTGTTAGAGCTCACAAAGAAATTGGGACGGTTAATGAAATTTTGGTTCATTTAAAAAATACTGCTGGTAATTTAATGCAAATGCAAGCATTTTTAATGACTTATGAGGATAGACTTTTGGACCTTCAGGTTAGTCTTGACAAACCTGGCACCGATGATGAATATTGCATATTTGAAGTTACGAAGCCAGATCTTAATTATTTAAAAATTTCTGTTGATAAGTTGAAAGATTATCATCAAAGCTTCGATATAAAGGCTGGAATCTCCAATTAACGCATTTTTTATATTGATGGGTATAAATTGTTATAAAATATAAGTTGATGTAAATCCTTAATCTATCGAAATAAACTCGGAATTCTTTTGTTTTAAAAACTCTGTACTTTTTACATTATAAATATAGTGTACATTTTGTTTAACAATAAGCGATAAATAAAGGTGTTCGATTTATATTCACTTCTTTACCAGAATAAAAACGGTTCTATGATAATAATTAACAAATATAAAATTTTTTTTTTTTTTTTTTTTTTTTCACATGAATTTTAAACTGAAAAGGTTTATCAGGTTAGATTAGAATACCTTTTTTTCCTAATTCGACAAGTAGATCTGACCAAAAATTAGTATTTATTAGAAAAATTATATAATCCGATGTTCTTTTCTTTCTTGAGAATTCTTAAAAAATTGGGCACCTAAAAAATCATTTGCATGGCATGAAGTTAGTTCATTGTTTTTCTTTATAAAAAAAAAAAAATTCAAGAATCCTTTTTTTTTTTTTTTAAAAAAAAAAAATGCCTGAATTAAACAAGCATATTCGAGAAAGAAGACGACCTCAGGAAGATATAAGCACCGATAATTCTGAAAATAATGAAATGTTTGGTTTAGACAACCAGATTAGAGAACATCAGGAAAATTTAGATGGAAATGTTGAAAATGATGAAATAAAAATAAGAAGTCATGACCAAAATTTATTCCGGGCAAAATTACATAAACATGGATTTAAATTGTTATTGTTAATTTTTTTTATTTCTTGTATCGTAAGTGTGATTTTTTTCCCTTTCACACGCGTATCTCTCACCTTATCCCTTGTTTAATTTTTCTTTTTTAAATTACGTGCAAGTAGGTTTTTACAATGAATTACCGCTCGGATGAGAAATTCATTTATACCACCACGTGTAAATTTGTTGATGAAATTCCAGGCAAATATGATGTGAAATTCTTTTTTTTTTTTAAAAAAAAAAAAAAAAGATCCCTTTTATCTCAAAAAGAAAGAATGAACAAAATAATTTGCTTTTGTTTCTCTCAAACCTAACTAGATTTGAAAAAGATCTTGGATAATATCGTAACATACCGTCGCGTTGCCAACATATTGGAGACAAGTCCAGCATTTAAATCACACTCTCATATATCCAAGGAATTACGATATTTTTCTGATAGATTATTGGACGCGAGTTTAAATTTAAACAACTTATACTACAGAGGGTGGACAAAAGTATCCGCACACCTCCATAAACGTGAATTAATGCTAGTAAAGTCATATGATCACAATAA